CATTAATCACATCCATACGTTCGGCAGTGGCCACACCGACGTCATTGTCACGGAAAACGGTAACGAAATGTTGCAAAATTGAAAATTAATTTCGATTGCCAGCAGTCGAAGCTGAAAAATGGTCAGGTTTCCTTTCCTCTCTTGATCCTAATTCCCCTTTCAATTGATTTGGTTTCAGTGGGGAAAATTGGGAAAACTGCAGGCAGGCTGCCCTCATAATGGTTATTGCTGCGGATGACTGCTTTCGAAGGCTACCAGGGAAAGAGATAATACAAAGAGCAAATTTTAAATATGGTAGTGCAGTGCGGCTCGAAACTATAATTCAATTTCCATGGCAAATGACATTGGAAGTAGAGGGAATTTTTGTTAGTTAAAGAAGGGTACTTTTCTAATGAATTAAATGTTTTTTTCTGGTTGCTAAGGTCCACAGGGCAAGCAGAAATATTAGCAAAATTAATCAGGGAATAGCGTGACCATTTCACGTTTATACTATTAGCAAAGGAAAATGGGAAATTCCTTGAAAATAATAAAGGTTTAATCTTGAAGCAGGGGAAACCTATGAAAACATAGATATATATACATTTATGACTACCAAAAGCCAGATATTAGAAAGAAAATATCTGTATGTTCTCTTGAAAATTCTGATTTTTAGAATTATAAATTAAATGCCTTTATAATGAAGTTCTCTATATAATGCATAGTTATCGTGCCTTTAACAAACATTATGTATTATTGCCTGACAAATTGTTGAACCTATTTCGAGGCTCGTGTTTTTTGCAATTACTTTTCAGGATATATTTTTTGGCGAATTCCTCTGCCATTATTCCGAGCACAATGGCCCGTGTACATGCATTTAGCACGAGTGTGTCGTGCACTGGATGGCATGACTGCCCCACCTCAGGCACCCCTTCCTGCCTACACCTCCCACATGTAATTCAATTTGGCGCCCTCAATGCCAGTACTCAGCACTGCGCACTCGGCACTCACTTCTTTAGTCATTCAGGCAGTCCCACTTGAAACCGAAACCAAACCCGAATCCTAATTCAAGTTGGGCAAGTGGCACGCTAAACTTTAGCATGCATGCAGCTCTTGCCACAACAAATTTAAATCATTTGGGAAATTAATTTTATTCAACACTTTCCTGCAGTCCGTGTTTGCATTTCCACATTTGCCATTCCAATTTGAAAGAGCACAAGAAACAATTTTGAAAAGATGCTAGGAAAGGATCTTCTTTAGAAGTCTAAAAATCTAAGTTTACGAACGATTTTTTGGAAATTAATTAATGTAATATTAATTTCTTTATTTTGCATTTAACTTTATCTTTATTATTATCAAAAATATTAATTAATAACATTTTCTCTCCCTGCAGATGCCGCCGCCAAGCAGTTCCTGGGCAGCGTGGACAGCGCCTGTGTGTTCCACAACGCCAGCTCGCGGTTCGCTGACGGCTTCCGCTTTGGCCTTGGCGCCGAGGTGGGCATCTCCACGGCCCGCATCCATGCACGCGGACCTGTGGGCGTGGAGGGGCTGCTGACCACCAAGTGGATACTCAACGGACAGGACCATGCCGCCGCCGACTTCGCCGAGGGCGGCGAACGCACATGGCTGCACGAGACCCTGCCGCTGGACTAGACGTAATCCATGGAGTGTACTTAGTTGTAGGATCCCAGTGTGTAGATTGTTTTCCCATCACCGACGACGTGCGGAAAGTGCATTTTGAGCGAAGGGTAATTAAATGGGCGGTGCAGCGGGGGAATCCCCGATGACAGCTGCCGTCGCGGCCACATGGGAGAAATTAATTTGAGTGAAAAATATTTGGCGAGACAACTTGTGTAATTAATAAAGTGAGCGGGAGGGAGTGTTTTCGGGGTAGTTAAGACTGTCAGCCCTTGTCTTGGGCAAAGTTTTCAGCGAAAGTTGCGCTGCGTCGCCTCACAAGAAGGGAAAATGGAAAATAAAATAGCGCCAAAAAGGCGCCGAAAGAATCGCTCTTAAAGTTTCAATCCTCGGCGAGCATTATGTATATGCGCATATTCCTATTACAAATCATAAATTAGCCATGGAACGTGAAATGCAGCCAGCTCCCTCGCCTCGGGATCTGCAACTTGGTAGAAGGCAGCCGCGCGGCAAGTATTTTAATTTCTATGTGCACTGGGCCCCAAGTTTGCCGGCTTCTCGGTTCCTCAGGCCCGACCAGCTCGGCTTTCTTTCGCTCTCTTTCACTTTGGCCAAAGTTTCCGCACTGCGTGCTGGCCGGAAAGCCCATAAGAGATGCCGCAGGTGGAGCCGGGAACGGGAACGGGAGCGGGCCAGGTGCCGGTGGTTGCTCCTGTCAACGCGCTAACTTTTTTGGAGGAATTTCCTCAAGAAACTTAATGCTAAATTGAAGTTGGGGTCAGCAGGTTCTGGGGAGGATTGAATAGTATTGGAAACCAAAAAGTGGCGCCGAAACAAATGTAAATTGTTCTAATTGCCAAACTGACGGACAGCCGCAGAGCAAATCTCTGGCAAAAATTAATTAGCCTTTTGTGATTTCTTAGGAATTTTTTTTATATCAAAATAAACTGGCAGTCAGCCATGCAGATCTTGTAATTTAATTTAAAAGTTTCTACTTTTTGTTGAAAACATCACAAGAGAGAACACAATATTTGGCCTCAAAAAAACATTGTCTGTTTAGGGATCCATCGAAGAAAAATCGAAAGAAAGATAGATAGTGTTTTGTTAGGAAAATGTATTTTGTAATAATATTTGGTTGTGGTTTATTTATTATTTACAGGCATAATTTTTATATAAATATATTGCTTATATTTTATTGAATGAGAATTGATCCTTTAAAAAATTCTTTAAATGGTTTTATAATTAAATGTAAACATTTGAAATTTGAAAAACATGAAGTGAATTTACATATTTTTAGTTTAGGGTTTAATTTGTCTAGCAATGCATACCTTGCAATTTTATTTAAAAAATCTATTTATCTAACTGAGCATTGACTTTGTATTTATCAAATTTTTTCTTTACCCAATATCAGCTTATTCAATCAAGTCAGTTCCAAATTAAGTTTGAAATATATTTAGTAATATCCTTTTTGGACTTCTGAAGCTTCCCTAATCCTATTTATGAGCTCTTAAAAAAGGAACAACACCTGCATTCGAAAAAGAGCATAATTTTTACCTCTTTCAACTGCTCGAGACGCGTGCGGACAATGATACGTGAACGCTGTCCGTATCCGTACCTGATCCGCACGGCGGTCACGTAGTGCTCCGCAGTTGCCGAGCACTTTACGGAAGTTACCGGAGCGGAAGTTCCTCCGCTAGTTGTGAAGAAGTTTGGCCATTTGGGGAATGCCCCCGATATGCACTCACCGTTGGAGCAGTTGGAGTGCAGTGCCTCGGCAGGTTCTCGCCTTGGGGTGCACTTAATTAGAATGGCGGGCATTAATCTTGTGGCTAATGCCACGTTGAGATCGGACCGATATCGGAAGACAGGCGCAAAATTGCCGTTGGGCAGAGGCAAGCAAAGCTGCCTTCCTTTCCGCACATACGAGTATATGCGAAACAAATTTTATTTTATTTCAATTTGATTTCAATGAAATCCACACGACGTCGTCAACATTTATAATATGTGCAAACGCTTTGCTTGCATTTTTGTGTGTTTTTAGGGCTGTGCGGGGTGTGTAAGCAGAGGGTGTGTGGTGTGGCATGTGTGTGTGTGTTGTGTGGTGTGACAGCGTGTGGGCCACACCATCTATGGACTGAGTGGGGGCCCCGAAAGAGCGTTGGCACAAATCCGGCGGACTTTTAAAAGATTTCTGCAAGTACAAGCTGGCAACTGCATTGCATTGTTCGCGGGGTTGTCTCGCGAACGCTGTTCCGCGGGGGTTTATTTATATAAAAACTTAAAAATACATCAACAGATGCCTATACAAGTCCTGGCGCATATTTCCCTACGCTCTCTCTTCGCTGTTCTATGTCGAAGTCATAGCAAAGTTGGCAGCCAGACATAATTTAGCGAAAACGAAATGAAACTGAATGATAAATGGTCCGCACGAATGGAGAAAACTGAATACCCTCAAATGGAACGTGAAATAAAACAGGCTAATCCCAGGGCTAATTCCAACTGAAGGCTAATGAATACAAATAACTATATCAATGGAATCACATGGCCCGCAAGAATGCATTAGTTTAATGGATATTCTTTGATTAATTATTTAAAGCTATGGATTAACGCCAAATCGTTCTTTTGATTGCAAGAATAAGTAGATATCTTGACACTTTAATCATTTCTGTAATCCTAACAAATTGTTTTCTGTTTGGTGGATAAGACTCTGAGTGATGGGACATGTTAAAGAGTAATTTAAGTAAAAATTTAAATAAGTAAGTCCACCTTTTCCAAGGTAAACTAGAAAGGAAAGATCATTTTATTTTATGGATATATTAAAGGTACTTTCAGTTTAATTGAATAATATTTTTGTAGTGAATCAAGATATAGGAGCTACCTAGAGCAGCAGAGCTTTGGTTTTTCTTATGTTCTTCTTATTTCTTAACTTGTTAAATATATTTATTTTATTATATTTTTAAAATATTCTTAAAATGCCTTAAGCTTCCATTATATTTTCTGCTACTTAATCGTTCCAGAAATCCCCCATAATAAATTTATTTTATAAAGACTTCTTCTAGTACACTTTACCATTAAATACAGCATTATTTTCATATCATGTCTATCTCCCTATTGATCCCCATTAATCCCTATCAATCCCTAAGATGTTCTCCATCAAAGATCACTATCAAACCCCCTAGCTAAGGCGGAGTACCCGAAATCGGAACACACTTTGGTGCAATCGAAATGATGTGTAGCCGACCCTCCGGTTCGCCACCCCGCCACTGCCTCCGTGAACGGCTGATCCCCAGCTAGCGTAGCATATCGCGAAATTCATCAACATGTTACTAGATGAACAATTGGCCGAGATGACAGGGACATCGGGGTAGCCGGGGGAAGGGAGAGCTTGGGATCTCGGACAGAACTTATTTAAATGCGGCTGCCGGAGCGCAGAACGAATCACTCTGATTGCTGTCGCTGTTGGATTTACACGTCGTGAGTGTCGTCATTGGGATTATTAGGACCAGGATAACCAAAGGATATACATAAACTAAAAATATAATTGAAAATAAGGTCATTTGATCTAATTTGATATCTGTAGAAATCCGATAAGATTAAGATCAAAAATATATCTTACAAGATCAAATTACCTTTTAAATTACACTCAAAATTAGAACAAAAAAGTTTAAAATATAAAACCCCGGTCAAGTTTTTGTTCTGTGTAACTAAAGGATAACCCTTCGATCCTTCTCACTTAATTACAGTGCCCGCTCCGATCAAAAACTAACCCATAATGTGTGACGAGGAAGCATCAGCCTTAGTGGTGGACAATGGCTCCGGCATGTGCAAGGCCGGATTCGCCGGAGACGATGCGCCCCGTGCCGTATTCCCCTCGATCGTGGGCCGCCCCCGTCACCAGGGCGTCATGGTGGGCATGGGTCAGAAGGACTGCTACGTGGGCGATGAGGCGCAGAGCAAGCGAGGTATCCTCTCCCTGAAGTACCCCATTGAGCACGGCATCATCACCAACTGGGATGACATGGAGAAGGTCTGGCATCACACCTTCTACAATGAGCTGCGCGTGGCCCCCGAGGAGCATCCCGTCCTGCTGACCGAGGCTCCCCTGAACCCCAAGGCCAATCGCGAGAAGATGACCCAGATCATGTTCGAGACCTTCAACTCGCCGGCCATGTACGTTGCCATCCAGGCCGTGCTCTCCCTGTACGCTTCCGGTCGTACCACCGGTATTGTCCTGGACTCCGGCGATGGTGTTTCCCACACCGTGCCCATCTATGAGGGTTATGCCCTGCCCCATGCCATCCTGCGTCTGGATCTGGCTGGTCGCGACTTGACCGACTACCTCATGAAGATCCTGACCGAGCGCGGCTACTCCTTCACCACCACCGCCGAGCGTGAGATCGTGCGCGACATCAAGGAGAAGCTCTGCTACGTTGCCCTGGACTTTGAGCAGGAGATGGCCACCGCTGCCGCCTCCACCTCCCTGGAGAAGTCCTATGAGTTGCCCGATGGCCAGGTGATCACCATTGGCAACGAGCGTTTCCGCACCCCTGAGGCCCTCTTCCAGCCCTCGTTCCTGGGCATGGAGTCCTGCGGCATCCATGAGACCGTCTACCAGTCGATCATGAAGTGCGACGTCGACATCCGCAAGGATCTGTATGCCAACAATGTGCTGTCCGGCGGCACCACCATGTATCCAGGTGGGTAATACTACCACGGGCTTGTGGTATATATAGAAAAGAGTAATGATGATTTACTCACACTTATTTAAAACAAATTTTGATATTCATAAATAGTATTACGTAATATTTTCAATATATTTATGTCCCCTCAGGTATCGCTGATCGTATGCAGAAGGAGATCACTGCCCTGGCTCCGTCCACCATCAAGATCAAGATCATTGCCCCGCCAGAGCGCAAGTACTCCGTCTGGATCGGCGGCTCCATCCTGGCCTCGCTGTCCACCTTCCAGCAGATGTGGATCTCGAAGCAGGAGTACGACGAGTCCGGCCCCGGAATCGTCCACCGCAAGTGCTTCTAAGCACTGGGTCAGCACTCTGGCCGCCCAAGTCACCATCACAATCTCCTCGAGCGCGGGCCTGGTGTTTGTCTAGTGCCACAGACATCCGTCCAGGACGAGGACGAGGTCGCAGTTCAGTGAAAAGTATCTTTAAAATTACATTTAGTTGATGAAGAAGTTTTTAACACAATGATGAAGAGAGAGAGAGAGAGAACAAGAAAAGAGAACAAGAGAAAAAGACAGGAAACGAGCGGGCGACGCCTTCTTTTTTTTTATTATCCTTGCTATTTTGATTTGATTTGACTCGGAATTCCTTTAGCTAGCAAGTCGCCAAAACAATCGGCTGAAGCGTACAATAAAAACCAATAACCCATGTGAATCGAACTCGAGCCTCAGAGGAATGCGTGCTGGGGAAACTTTTCTAATTAGGCCTCGACTTGGCCGAATGTCAATCAGGCAATCATCGCTGGGGCGCCGAAACTTTTCTCTTTGGACAGCTTGGCCGGCAATCTTTGGATTCGCATCTATATCTGTATCTGTGACCCGGCTCGTCTGTCACATTCTGTGACGCATGCCGGAGATGGATTTCCAAGCCATGTGAGAGGCTGAAGGATGACTTCTGGGGAAGGATGACTTCTGGGTAGGCAACTACATCGTGTTTGAGGTGACAGTCTCAACTTGCCCGAAAACTTTGCTCCAGCTCTCGCTGCTCACCCAACATAAATGTTTGGGCACAACTTTTGGCTGCAAACTTTTCAGGTTTCGGGAAACTATGCATAAACCAGGTGCCAAAAACTGTTGCTTAATTAGTTAAGGCGAAACTTGCCGCAGTCGTCAAAGAAGAGTCTAAGAGAGTTTATTGGTCTCCGGCTGGAGGAAAACTCTAAATTTTAATGACCGGTTGGCCGCACATTGGCATTTGAATGGATCCAGGTACCCATTAATTTTACACTTGATGTGATATGTTTCTGTTTGCTTAAATTATTTTTACTAATCATCGCAATCTTAATTTCCCAATTCCATATCATTTCTGGCTCAACACACCCAGTACGTGTCAACCTATCTTTTGGCTGTCATGTCCGTAATTACGCTTTTAGTGTGCAGTTCCCGCCCTAATGTCATCGGGTCCAGCCCCCTAAGAGGTCCAAGTGCGGTTCATTATCCGCCGCTGTCCAGCCAGGCTGGGCGGGAAAACAGAAACAGAATCAGGGAAATTACTGCCGGCAGTTGGCATACAACTAAATGTTTGGCGGGACCGATATGATTGGTAAGGGTTGGTTGGAAATCGCCACTCAATCAATCAGTGGACACAGCGGGCGAGCCGAAATAGCCCATAAAGGCGGATCCTTTCAACGGCGAGTATGGTCGAGGGGAAGGAAAGCGAAGTCTGCCGACTTCCTGTTGGTCTACACTCAAAGGGAAACATACACACGAAAATGATAATTAAATAAGAGTGCCTTGCCGTATATTGAGCACTTTATTGGTTAAAATATTTTTAAGAATTGTGTATTTATTGGAATTGATTTTATGGAGTTTTAAGTGCAAGAAACTTTTAGGTCAAGGTTATAAAAGGTAGATCTTTAAAAGAAATATTCAAAAAAAATATATTTTTGGGGTTTCAAGATGTTTTTAGTTATTTTTGTATCGTAATATTTTTGTAATAATTGTTTCAAGGGATTTTTAACACATAAAACCTAGACCAGACTCTATTATAAAATGAACTCCACTTCCACAAGTTCCTGGTCTCCTTCCAGGGTATTCCAAAGGCGAGGCTCCTCCACACAGACTCTGCTTGTATCGTTCGGTTATGTTTGCAACTCTTGTCCGCACATCAAATTGAATTTAATTGCAGTCAGGCCAGGGTGCCCATGCTCCAGCAGAGGCATCGGCATCTCGATTCCCTGTCCATACCATTCCGACGGGCAATTCTCCCAGATTGCTTGTCTGTTTGTCGCTTTCAGTTTGCGGAAATTGTTTTGAATTTGCAACAGCAACACCGACAGCAACAACGAAGGCAATCTGCAAGTGCTGCGTGCGGCTTGTTTATTTTATGCTAATTTAATGCACTCGCACCCACCGAACGCCCTCATTGATACCATTATAATTTGGTGTTAATTCCGAAGGCAAATACTTCAGCGTGTTTGCTGTATTCATTATGCAGATTCGGGCAGGCGCAAAGCAAACAAGCCGGAATTAAAGCCCAAAGTTAACGAGTTATCTGGCGAGAGTTTAAGGGGATGGAGCTCCCTTCCGGCCAACGAAAACTTCGACTTGATGGTCGATGGTTTTGACAAGCTAACAAATTGTTTTCCCCTAGCTGGAGGTGCACCACATGCGGACAGGAAATTAATAAAGAAAAGGGCTCCACCATGATACCAGACCCCTCAATCTTCATCAGCCCAGGCGATGGCTTCTGTCCTGTCCCCCATGTCCTGCTCCTCCTTGGGCTCAACTGACCACAGCAGACCGGGCCATGGGGGCGACTCTATCAGCATCTTGGCCATCATCACCATCAATTTGCCCCGAAATGCTGCAAATTTAAATTTACTAGTATATGGCCAACTGTAACTGACATTCGCCTTTAGCCCGAAAAACACGAGGAAACTTCGGCCCACGCACATGCGGTTCTCTCAGCTCACCTCCCCCTTTTGTGTGCTTAGTAATTTAAACTTAAATTCAATTAATGCACAGCAGGTGCAGGTGGTTTCACCCCCGAAATGCGAGCAACTCTGGAATTAATGGAAAATGGTCGGCGAAATGTCAAAGTTGAGAGATTGCAGGCAGCCAAAGAATCGACATTGATGCATTGCTTTTAAAGGTCGCGATTACTACATATACATAACATATATATCTGCAAAAACTGACAAATGTTTGTTGTTTTTACAGATAAAAAAGAATGGAGGATTGACAGATGACTGAGTAACCTCAAATGTGAAATGGCCCATGTAGAAAATTAAATGAAATCTAATTCAATTTAAAGATACTAGAGGTCTTTAAAAAAGTTACTCCCTCTCAGTAACTTTAAATACATTTTTGTAGAATAAACCTGCTGCCTGTTAAGCTCATTTTACCAACATATTTTCCTTTATTTACGTGTAAAGCATACTTATAAATTTTCCCTGGCTATTTAATCGATCAGGGCCTACCAAATCAGGTGTAAACTCTGGCAGCATCAGCCCATCCAGTTATCGACACACACACGCAGCACATCACTCACTGCGCCCCCGTGACGTACCCTCCAGGACTCTGCACCCTTTATCCTTTCTGCGTGGGCTGCTTTCGGGCTTAAGCCGCATGAATGAAGCGATTATCGCATCTTTGTCAGCAGCATCAACGCAACCAGAGGCAGCTGAGGCTGGCAGCCTGCAAAACAAATCCCAAAAGAGGGGGACTCTGGCTTGTTCTTTAAAGGTAAAGGTACATAATAGAGATGGGACTTTACTCGTATCTGTAGGGATCAGGTGGGAGCTCTTAGGAAGGTTACAATTTAAAAACTAAAAGTAACTAAATAACTAAAAATAATTTTCTATATTTTATTATTTATTTTAGCGATACCCATATAGTACTCCTCCCATCACTGCTAAAACACAGAGGAAAGGCTTTCATAAACATCATTCTTAGGCCAAATGGTGGCTGCCATCCTAGTCCACCTGGGGTTGGCCTGGCAACGTGGAAATCCCCTTTTCCCCTGACAACATTCCAGCTGCGCTGCGTCTGCCTGTCTGCCAGTGCGCACTCCTAATTCAATTAATAGTTAGTCGCAATTAAGTGCAGTGATTATTGAAAAAGAGGAAAAGAAGGCATTACAATGAATGCCATTCGGTTTGAATGGATAGAGATATAGATCCGCCCCCAAGAAGCACAGACAGTCAGCCGAGTTAAAGCCCAGGAATAGCCCAGGGAAGTGCAAGGGAAGTTGGAAAAGCAGAGGAAAAAGCCAGTGGAAGTATGTGGAACAGTTTTTTTTTAATGCCCATCAGCTTAATGCCGATTGTGAGGCTTCCGCCGGGATGAAGCCAAAGCTCCAGCGATGCAATGCAATGTGAGGATGTGATGAGTGCAATCCAAGTGCCTGAGCATACATAATTACCAGAACGAGGGGCAGACAGCCAGAATGAGCAAGGGAAGTAGTTTTTTCTAACAACCGAAACTCACACTTTAATTATCATAAAGCTTAAATATTTAAAAGAGTTTCTTGTGGTTTCTGCGATTTAAAAACATTAGTATAGGCTTGAATTTTGGCTAAAACACACCAAGATCTCCTCACAGGTTTTTCGTTTGAAAAGATATTCTGCCTTATTTATCTGAGTTTTTGCATTTTTACCTATGTATGTATTATGCTAGAGCGCCAAAAATCGTAAAAGGAAATTACTCCCACATAAGTCAGTGTGGCTGCTGGTTTCCGGCTGTCAACAGCTGCCCCGTCTTGAGCCGAAACAATTTGCATAAGGGAGCAGGCGCCTAGGGCTTACCTGGGGCTTAGGGGTTACCCACCTCCATCCTTTATGCTCCTGTTCTCCTCCAATCCACAAATAAAGCTGCTCCCATATGCAGGCGAGACAGATGGACCCCTATATCGAGGGGGAAGTTCATACTAAGCAGCTGCTATTTATGGGATTGTAATTCAGTGGGGAAACAGACGGGAGCTCCTTACAAAAAGTGTCTCGATAAAAACTCAATAAACTTGAAAGCTAGGGGAGAAGTTCAGCCCCTGAAACTGCTTCACAAATTGCTTGGCATTCTTAAAGCTAAAAATCTTCGAATATGCTTATAAAGAACAAAAGTTTAGAGCTTGTGGCATATTTAATTTGTTCCCCATTATGAGCTTCTTGTTGTGTTGTCATATGAGCCGGAAGAATGGAGAAAAGTTGGGAAAACACAGCGCCTCCGGCGTGGGCTGACCTTAATTTTCTTGAACAACATGCTAAATATTTGACCCTGAATGCTGCTCAGTTCTTTGGTTTCATTCGCAGGCAGCAAACTATTTTCATTTGCCAGTCGAACAAAGCCGCAAACGAGCGGGAAAGGGGTGAATGGGCTGAAAGGGCACCGCCAGCACTAGCGCCAATAAAAACTTTCGGGCTTAAAACCGCAGAAAAGTTGAAAAGTTTGCTCTTGATTTTATGAATATTGACCGAATCAAATCCAATTGAATTGAAAAAGGCGGCCGCTCCGAGAGATCGCAACAAATGCCGGGCCAAAAACTATTTAAAAGCGAATTTCGGTTTGGGCTAAAGTTGAAACAATTGCAGTTTGGGCTTCCCTTTTGGCGCCTTTTAATTGCAGCAAACTCTCTCTTGCTCTCTTTATTATATATTTCTCTCTTCTTCCAGAGCCTAATTGCGGTCGGAAAAGAGGGAAAAGTTGCGAATCGAGTCG